TTTAAATCAGAGCTAGATAAGATTTTAACAACTCTGAGCTATTAGTTAAGTTCTCCCCAAGCGAGCTCGATGGGCCGAATGGCCTCCTCTCGTTTTGTATAGTTCTTATGTTCTTTCTTAAGTGCTTGAAGTGGACCATTACTGTCTGGTACACAGTACCAGCATCACATTGTCTTTCTGTTCAGAGTACTGGCACCTCTCAATATCTGCTGGTACTGAATAACAAGGGGAGCATCTGCACTTGGTACTGAATAACAAGGGGAGTACCTGCACATGGTACTGAATAACAAGGGGATTACCTGCACCTCGTACTAAATAACAAGGGGATTATCTGTACCTGGTACTAAATAACAAGGGGAGCATCTGCACTTGGTACTGAATAACAAGGGGAGTATCTGCACATGGTACTGAATAACAAGGGAAGCATTTGCACATGGTACTAAGTAAGAAGGGGAGTAGGAGCACCTGTATATCAGAGTACATGTACATATGGATCTGCAGAACACTCACGCTGAAGGCCCTTGCGAAGAATGAGCTCCAATAACTGGCAGCAAGAGGACAGTTGAGGGTTGGAGTCTGTTACTGCGCCCCCCTCTGATTTAAGACTGAGAATACACACTTTGACAGAAATATTAAGCATCGTTAAAGACAGAATTTCACATATTTATGTCATATTTTATTATTAATATATTTTTTTGAATTACTTAATAACGGATTCAACTAAGATTGAAGGAGATCACAATACATCTGCAAGGCTTAGAAGGTTACTCCAGCTACAAAACGTGTTTAATAACTAAAACGCAACAATAAAACACAGACATTTTTAGCATATAAAAAGTATTTTTTAGATTACCTTTTAAAATTAAATTACGGTTCTTTTTAGTGCTAAAATCAACGGAGCACAGAAAGGGCATCGATTGTTTTTACCAAAAATGCATAGTTAATGCGTCCTATATGGTTAACCTACTGCACGACCTAAAATCCAGATTTACCTATGAACGTACAAATTATGTGGAATTTAAGATGTAGTCGCTATAAATCTTATTATTGTGTGTAATAGTTGGTATATTAATCATCATACATAGGTAACATTTTTCAGCAACAAAGCAATCTGTTATGTTATATTAACGTACCTTTAAGTGCGCTCAATAGTGGATCTTTAGTTGACATTTTCGTGCCCGACACGGTAGGCTGATCTTAATAGCGATCAAACTGAATGTGCGCCACCCTTCCGCAAAACCAACATACCGTCACTGTAACTTTCACTCCCCTCCCTCTATCTGATCATATAAAATATTCCTTTGTTTACATGTCTGACTGATCATGCGTTCCTGTTTCTTCGTGTAAGTGATGACACTGCTTTCATTAAAATGATACGAGTCGTAGTAGTATCTATGCTGTAGCAAAAAAAATATAGTCGGATCAAAAACGTTGGCATTTTGGCAGCCCCTTGTGGACAATAATAAAGCTATAATTTTACTACAATCATCAATCCTGTTTGTATAGTAATACGTGTAATTCTAAGATTGACCACACATTGGCTCAAGTTGCATTGATAATCTATTTTTTGCCGTGATTTACAAACAGCATATAGACTCTACGTATATTGAATTACATACTATTAGCGCTTATATTAGTATTCGTTATTTTATGTAACAAGAAAAATCTTATTAATCAAACTAATTAAGGTAGGAGCATAAAATCCACAACAAATATGGCCGCTGTCGCCGTCCTCTTTCGTGTTTTAGCCGGAAATTGCCGAATCACAATCGTGATTCACAGGCTTGTATGTAAACAAGGTCAGCCCTACACTGCAGTGCATATCACAGGCTGCTGGAAAGGCAGAAGTTGGTTGGTCTTCGTGAACACCTGTGGCAGAAGTCTGCGGACGCTGATTTTTCTTTAGGGGTTCAAGTAAGTAATGCTTTATATCGTGGTGGAAGCTAGCTGTTATTTTGTCAAAATTGCTTGTGGAAAATTCTATAGTTTAAAATCGATTGCATTTTTCATTGATTCAGGTACAAAAATGCCGAGCCAGTTATGCCTGTGGCATGATCTGCAATTGTGCACGACGTGCGAATAGCGGACATGTGAAAATACATTTATATTAAAGACTAGCTAAGTTAAAGGAAAATGTTCTATTTCTCATGAATTTATCCTGTGTCCCCAAGTGCCGTGAAAGCCAGTCACCGTATGTTAACTGGATTTTTGCTGTTTTCATGTGTGAGCTCTGTAGCTTAATAATATTGATCTGTATTACAAAGGTGCATGTTTACATGTTATACCAATGTTTTTGCATAACAAACATGAATACATACATAAATATCTGTAGGCATCTGGGTGTATATCTGTTATGTAAAAAGTCCCGTGTTCCGTGCCAACCTTAGACTGCGCAGTGTTTTCGCAAAGCCTTTTTACGGTCGTCTCCACTACACCTTCACCGCGAGCGCCTGCTTATTGTCAGCCACCTATTAATTAAATTTGCACTTTTGAAATTATTGTGCCGACAATTTGTTTTTCAGAATTAATCAAGTAGAAGAAATGTATTGTTTTTCTCAACCCTCCAAAATAACAGGTATTTTTGTTTTCGAGAAGTTAAACGGTGTTTACCACGGTCATGAATTTTTTATTCTCACTTTTTAAATATTTAATTTCTCGCAATTTTTTTCCCATGGTTCCTTGACTGTCATTATGTAACTTCTACTAACAGTCTCCAGCCTACTTATCTTAATGGCTTATTGTGCATGTGCTTGCACACAAGTGTCCCTCCAGTCCATCTGTCAGCAGTGACAGTATTTCTTACGTTTATGAAAGGACTTCACTGAGGAGTGACAAGCCCTACAAACAGAGAGCCCTTCCTGGTGATTTGCCTGTGCTACGTCTCCCTGTGTGGCCACTTTAAGTGTGACGTTCAGGGGTTTTGATGAGTTTTCTTAAGCCAAAGTCTAAAAAGATTACTTTCACTCTTTAATCCACTGTTCGAGGTGGGTAATATAAAACAAAACACTGCAGTGTAGAGAGGTTTGGAAATACTGCTTGCTTTATTGTAGGTCTTTTGTGTATGTGATTGTTTTGCAAATTTTTTTTTAAAAATGTTTAATCATGTACGAAACAAGCAATGACATGGTGTCCTTGACTCCTTGGTCATGGGTATGACTGTTTTGATTTGGGACATTGAGCAGAAGTTTGCAGTAAAGTTTCTGTTTTGTTCATTGTTTAATTATCAACTTGTCTGCCCTTTTTGGAATGCAGATGTGATCTTATTTTATGGAGCAGGAAACACCTTGACCTATTTACATGAAGAAAGGGGTTATGGGAAGGAGGTTAGGGGTTGCTCTCTTATGCTGCTGATTCAGTCTCACTGCTGCTGAAAGAAGCGATCTTATATGCTGGTTCAGGTCTCCTTGGATTGTTTTTTTTTTTGTATTATTTTTGCTAAAATGCTGCAGAACAGCATCTATACAACATAATTACAGTACACCACCTCTCTGTCCATCTCTGGTGTGTGTGTGTGTGCGCGCACGCACGTGTGCGTGTGTGGGGGGGATTGGGGGATTAGATCTAATGCTTCCATTTAAATGAGCCCATAAACAAGCTCAGCGGCTCTGCAGAGTGACGGTCAAAGCAGTGCAGTGCAGTGCTGTGCAGGGCTGCATGTGCTCCACGCCACTGGCTCTCGCACCGCTATGCCCCCAGCCGTCCGCATTCCAGCTGTTGTGGAAAAGTTCCAATCTCCTTTATGGATTTTTTTTTTTTTAAGGGCTTTAAGCAGACAGCTGCCGTGCGGTGGGGCCCCGGGGTGATGCGGAAAAGGCTGGGGAGGTCGCAGATGCTGTGAGAGGGATGCAGTGAGGGAGCCCACTGTCAGCTTGGGGTGCCGCTAAGCTGCGGTTTTGCTGTTGTCTGTATTTTATTTCTAGGAGGTCCACAGAGCTGCCAGGATGATGAAAGACTGCTTGCATTTTCTCGTGGAGCCGGCCAAGAAGCTCAAAATCCGTCTGAAGGTACGAGGCAGCCAGTGCCGTCTCCTTATGAGCCGCTGCGTTATCAAGCGTGTCGCAAGGCGTTTAAAGGCAACGTGTATGAGGCTTCCGCAAGTCTTTTTCAGAAGACCAAAATATGCGTAAATCCCTCTGTTCCCTGCCAACAAAAGCAAATGCTCCCGTGAAACCATGCAAACCCACTTTCATTTATGTATATCTGTAGTGATGAAATCCATACCTAAGTAGGTAACGTTACACATGCAAATGCTTCTGGGAGCTGTAGGTCACTTACTGCGAATACTTGAAATGCTAAATAATTCCAAGGCCACATTCTCACCAACCCTCACCTCCCCCCAACTCTCCCAAGGTGTCTTCTCCTGTTTACCTTCCCCTATGTCACCTCTGTTTCTCTGAATTTTTCAGGAATCTCGTAAAAGAGCAAGGACTGAAAAGAAGGCCCCCCTTCTAGAGAGTCAGCTGTTCATCATGGAGCTGGCCAGGGAGCTGAACCGGGTGTGCCAGGTATACACACACACACACACACACACACACACACATGTAGGGTAAACATATCCTTATGGGGACTGCTCATTCATTTCAATGGGAAAAATGCTAACGCTAACTATGACAACCTTAACCCCTACCCTGCCCTAACCATA